TTTCACAAAATTCTTCAATAGCATCAATAATACAATCACATAAATCTGAACACATTGTACCATTTCGAGAAGCACCTTTAATTAATCCAAAACGTCGTTCAATTTATATTGAACAAAAACGAGATAAACATCGTGCACGTTCATCTTCAAATACAACTCCATTATCATCATTAAATAGTCGATCACAAAGTATGCCAAAATTAAATGTTAATAATTTTATACGACCAAGTCAATCACCAATAACAACACCAACTATTGAACATTATTTTCAACAACAAAATCCATCAAGTAGATCTTCATCACCGAAATCATTTAGTGTTAATAGTGATCATGGATTTGGAAGTGAATGTGCATCACATTTATCTTCTGGTAAGTTTAAAAGAAAAATTTTCTCTTTCAAATATTTTTCTTTTAAAAAATAAAAATAAAAGGTTCTCCTAATGCAACAAATAATGTTAATAATTGTTATACATATAAAAGAAAACGTTTATATGCTGCAACACCTGGAAGAAAATGTATGTGTATTAAATCTTATCATGCAAATCTACCTGGAGAATTATTATTAAATAAAGGAGATATTATTGAAAGTAGATTCACAAATTTTCTCTTTTTTGTTTTAATATAAATTTATTTTTTGAATAATTTAATTTAGTTTTGAGTGTTGGTGAACAAGGATATTTAGAAGGAAGATGTAAAGATATTGAAGGATGGTTTCCAAGTAGTCATATTCAAGATATTTGTGTTTTTAGTAAGTTTTATTACATTTTTCGTATTACGTATATTAGAACTTCATTTTGTCATTCTTCCTATGATTTTGATAGGCTATATCACAGATAATAGAAAATATTTATTGTGGAATCTATTGGATTGATATCTTAGTCAATAATTTAAATAAATTCTATTTATTTTATTCGAAAAGAATTAAGATGAGAAATTGATTATTGAACTATAGAGTAGGTGTTGTAATATAATATGAAATTACTTATCATATTATTGAAATCTATTCAATGCATATATGACAGTTCTCTCCTAACTTACCTATAAGAATATTAGAAGAACTTTAATTCTTTTATTATGATAACTTTTAGAATTGTATTTCAAAGAGAAAAAAAAACTTCATATATTCTATCAATAGTAAAACACCATAGATGAGTGAACGGATCAATTGGTATTACACCTTTTTCACTCATTTGCAGCTACAAAGAACAAGCTAATAAGAAGATCAATACGATTAGAAAGAATATTAACATGAATTTATATAACTGTTGTTCTTATATGCTGGTTTTGTTTTTGTATGAATCAGTGCATTACTAAATTGTGTTGTTTGAATAAGTGTCAAAGAGAATCTGTCATACTTATTCTTCATTCATATTTTTTGAAACTTCATAGAAAAACTATCTATCTATCTATATATATATATGATGAAATTTAGAAAATGGTGAAATGACACATGATGACACAATTGTTATAAGTCGTGATGCTTTATCAGCTTTAATGATTAATAATGATGCATATACACCACGTACTATTGTTTTACAACGAGGAAAAAAAGGTTTTGGATTTGTACTTAAAGGATCTCGAAGTAAATATATTTCTATTAAAAAAATAAAAAAATATTTTAGCTTATTATAGTTGCAGGCAAATTATTTCAACCGAGTCCTTCATTCCCTGCTTTACAATTTCTTGATAGTATTGAAAAAGGTAGTAATGCTGATAAAGCTGGTCTTAAAAAAAATGATTATGTTCTTGAAGTAAGTTTGTATTAAATATATCGTCATTTATTTTAAAAAAAAATAAATAAATAGATAAATGGTGTAAATGTTATATCAATACCACATGAAGAATGTGTTAATTTAATAAAACGAGCTGGTGATACATTAGCATTGAAAGTTGTTACAGCTAATACATCAACAATGATACATTCTCATTATCAATATCATGATTTAAATTTAAATCAACATAATGTTTGTTCACAATCATTACCTTATCGACGTAAAGGTAAATTTTTCTTTTTTTTTTTTTTTTAAGAATAAAACTTAAAAGAATTTATTTATAGCACCACTTCGATCCGAACTTGAACAACAATTTAATGGTATGTAAATTTTCTTAATGATTTCTTAATAATTGATTGACTTTTCAATGGCATGCTTCTTACAATCATATAACCTAACTTAATTTAGTTTTTTCATCATCGTCG